TAGTTAGGAGGGGATTGAGGAGATGCCTTTGGCTGAAATCCCCTTTGTAAAGCTATGGTAAAGATATATTTTTGTTGTATCAGACTTCATTTTTTCCCTGTAATTCATGAGGTGCATGGGGGGATGCAGCATTCACCCACAGCCCATGAGAAAAGGGCACTCATGCTGGAGCGTGTGGATGCTGAAAAGCTGTGATCCAGTGAGAAGCTTGAGCAGAGAAGAAACTTTACCCTATGGATAGAAGAAGAAAAGCCTCTATTGCCAGAGACAGAAGAAGAGAACTTCGGGGTTTTTTATGCTAGAACACCTCATCCTTGAAATAGTACCCCATAAGTTGACATGGCCCATGAAAGCAGCTTTGGGAAAGCTGCAAGGCATGAGAGGGACTTTTACACTGCAAACAGATTTTCCTTTCCCAGGCAGCTGATTGACTGCGATGTTGAAGCCACGGGAGAGCTGTTTCTTGTGAAGTCTCCATGACATGGTGAGAGAAACTCCTCCCCCTAAGAGATTGTGAATCTGAAAATCCCAGGTTTGTGTTGTCTGTGAAAAGAAAAGAAGTTGTGGGAAAGGGAGGAGAAGTGTTCTAAAAATTTTATTCCGATTCTTACTATTCTTTTGGTTATGTTAATAATGTTTTCTTCATACCTTTTAAGTTTGGAGCCTGCTTTGCCTTCCTACTAATTCATATCTCACAGCAGGAAATGAGTAAATAATTCTCATAAGTGCACTAGTAATTTTAGTCACCCACATTATTTAGTACATTGGCCAAGAAACTCAGATTAGCAAACCTGAACCACTACATTTACATAATGATAATTTATGAGAAGTAGTTCACTGTGAAGTCTTACAAGTTCTGAAAGACTACATATACCCGTTCACAGGCATCATGATCACAGTTTTTTTAAACATTGGAATGGGTAAGTTAAATTAAAAAATTATTTGTTATGATGGCCTTTACTCTGATTACTTGTTCTGATGTTTTCTGAAAGACAGGACAGACCAGAAATATTTGCTCATAAATATCTGCAGATTGTGCTCTGGCTTCAGATTGACTCTCAAGAACCTCTAAAATGCCAGAAGGAATCTTTTTATTAGTAGCTTTGAAATCAGGCAGTGTGCTTCCTAAAATTAATATCTCTTCTTACAAAGCATCCAGTTCTATTTCATGCTTGTAAAATTAAGGCTAAATGAAACTGCTGTACCAGAAGCCCAAGAAATTTTTAGCTGTTCAATGTTCACTTTGTTTTTATCTCTTCAACACTGAGAACATTGTTTGTTCACAGAATGAAGCAAAAACTGTGTGTTAATATAGGAAGTCAGCCATATCCTTATCCATCCATGAGTTGAAACAGTTTCATGAATATCCCATGTCCATTCCAAAAGAGATGAACAACAAAATGTGTTGAGGTTTCCATACAGGGCATATATTTGAGCTGAAACTCAATTTGAAATTTTCTTAATTGAATTATGGGTCCATGGAGAGATTCAGCCAGGACTAGTGAGTTTTTGCAATTGACACTCCACCTACATATGCGATCTGTAAATTTCTCAGCCCTGTAGGAATATGGAAACAAGGAAATATGAATCTTAAATTTCTTAACCTAATCTTAGAAAAAGCATGTTTCCTTCATGTTACAAAACATATTTCTGAGCACCACAGAAGTGCTCAGACTCATGACTTGACATCTGGTTCCCACATCTTTCATGGTGTCCTTGTCTGGGACTACCCCAGTAAAATAATACTTGTACTGAGTTGAAACAGCTTGTGGACTATATACAGGTTATTTCATTCTGATAAACCACAGATACCATATTAGTTGCAATTATTTTAGTTTCCTGATTTTTGAGTTTATTGTCCTCAATGGGCTAATGCTGTATTGGATGTGTATTTGCATATCTTGTTTTGCAAAATGCATTTGCATTACGTTATTTGTCTCCACTTAAAACACATGTCCTCCTTTCTTACTGCACAGCAATTCTGTTCAAAAACTTTACAAGATAGCAGGTGTACTGCAGATCTGGGAAGAGCTGATCAAAGCACGACACATTCCCTTCCAGAGGCACAGTGAGTTGCAAGCAGTCATTCATCAACTATTGGGTAGCTGGAAAGATATTCACCAACTAATTGATAAACCAGGACTGTTGTCATGTTTATCTGAAATACATCAGTACTTTTTCTCAGTCCATCAACCACTTCCTACAGAGGTATATGTATCTACACGGTAATGTGCTTTTCTGTGGGAGGAGGTAAAGAAGGTAGCTGTATGAATGTCACATTTTTCACGTGTACGATTAAATATTTTTTGTCCTTTTTTAGGCAGCTATTTAGAAAACTGAAACTGATGCTTTCTGATACTTATGACAGTATTTTTTTTTGCTGTTGGTTTTTCAACAGATAAGGAATGGAAAAATGATGTAGTTTACTAATTGCATGTCTGCCTCCTTCAGACTGTCTTTTCTGAAGAATAATGCTCTGATACTTCCAGGTATTTGCAGGGAGAAAAAGAAAGCATTGCAAGAGGAAAAGTAAAAGAGCAGCTAATTTTCTATTTTCCACTGTGTAGCTCTGGAGTTAAAAAACCCCTGGAATGTAGAATTATAGAGGGATTTTCTGTTGGTTTGTTTTAATAGCAGCACTTTACAGAACACTTGAGGTGAAGAGGACAATTCACAAGAATATAGGAATGGTCTCTAAGGTTTACCTGCTATAGCACTGGACTGACACTTCCCAGAAGAAAAAAAGTTGTTTTCATCTCTTTAAGAAAGTAAAGCAAGCACTTACTATTGGCACTGAGCACCAGCAGCCCTGCCAAAGGGATGCTGTAGTGCTGTTCTTCACACTGGTGTCAGGGTGGCACCTGCTGGGAGTTCTCCTTCATCCTTCAGATCTACAGAGCCACAAAAACTCCAGGGTGAAACTCTGGCCAACTGGCATGTGCTAGCCACAGATTGTTGGGTATTTATTGGACACTATTTCACCCCTTTTTTTTTTTTTTTTTTTACATTATTATAATTGTAGAGTATTTGCATTACTGAAATAAAAGGCAATACAGTTTCTTATAAGTACAGACGGTGAAGGGAGTCTGCTATTTTCAGTTCTCTTCCCTGAAGATCTTACCTGTGACATTAAAGTGATCCCGTCTTACTTGAGCTTCATTTGCCCAAAAAGTACCTTCTTAATGTCAGGGAATGAATTCACCTTTCCAGACAGGATGTTTGGATTAAAAAACTTGTATGAACTCCGCATCAAAGCAGTGAATAAGCCACAGAAGTTTTAGTAGTTATGTGAAAAAAATGTGTCATGTAGAAAAAAAGACTACTCCTGAGGCTACATTTCAAAGATGTTAGCAAAAGAGAGGACACAGAAGCACTCTAATCAACTGCAGAGCAATGCTGTCTAAGATGACTATACACAGTGCAACAAATGCAGAGACTTGTGTCACATACAAGATATAAATATACTAATCATGATATAATTAATAGTGTTACCTTGACCCTGAATATAAGGGCAACCAACAGTGTTTCACAGCACTGTGAGGACATAATTTTTAGAAACAATTTTTATAAGTATATTAAGGAATGTGATCACTAAATGGTCAAAGTAGAAGACACCCAAGCACCAAAACCTGGCATACCTGAGACTTGATTAGCAAAACTGACTGCAAATAGAGAGACAGGTTATCATTCGAATATGGAAGTCTGGCAAGAAAAAGAAAAAGTTCAAGCAGTTCTGGTGAGGAGTTGGTGAGGAATGCAACAGAATAAAACCATGTGACATAAACAAGGAAAAGCGAAGGGGTAAGACAGCTCACTTGGATTTTGAATGTGTCCTTCAGGAGCTCTCAAGTGAGACTTTGAGAACCATCAGATACTGTAAACAACATCGTCATTTTCAGCATCAGCTCTGGGTAGTGTGCACTTAAAACCAACTTTAAACTGATTATTAAAATTTTGTATGCAAGCTGATGAGATATTATGCAACATTTAGCCATTAACATGGAGTAAACTACTAGTTTTTAATTCAGCAATGTCAAATTTTACAGCATAAAGCTGACCTAATTTGGCAGTCTTTTGAACACTCCATCACAGACACCTCTGATTTCCGTAGTGACAGAAATGCTTTTAGTTGCAACAACTTAGTCACTAGGAAGTGGTCTTTGCATATATTAAAGCCAGCTCAATGGGAGGTAGACTAAATCTTGAGAGAAGAAACTTAGCAGTGAATGAGGGAGAGGAGGAGGTGCTGAAATTTATTTCTTTGCTACATGAGTACACCATGCAAATCAAGGCAGCTCTGTGGCATTTCTTCCTAACACTGCACCTTGTTTAGTAAAAGGGTGACACCGCCTGAACTTCTTTGATGCTGTTTTTGATGTGGAAGCAAGGCACTTGGCAGTAGTGTGATAAAACACAGACAAGGTCTTTACTGAATTTGTTCTGGAGGCAAAGAAGAATAACAAATGAGAATGTGCTTTAAGAAAAAGCAATATAAATGACAGCACTTGCACACAGTCAACTGCTGAACAAGAGCATGTAGAACTGAGCCTGAGTCAATAATCTCTGGGAGGTAATGCTCATGTGATGTGGACAAATACACATTTCTTTAAGCTTATATCACACCTTCTTTCTGTGTTTCCATGCTATTACCCAGGAAAATTTATTAATTTAGAAGTAATTCATCTTACTATCAGAAAAATATAAATGTGTAAAAACTACCATGTAGAATAAATACTCTTATTTACCCAAAACCAATGACTATTCATTGGGAAAAAGTTGTCAGTCTCCCAGCACTACTGTTCTAAGACATTTATTAATTATCTCTTGAGAATATTATTAAATCATCCTAGTGCACCCATTCTTCTACTCTGTATAAATTATAAATCTTCACTATATTGCATGTTTTTTTTTCTCTAAAACCTGACTGCAATTATACATCACTGTCCTTATACTAAATATTCTTAGTTCATTAGTTATTTCACGGGCTACTTCAATCCTACCTAACATTGTCATGCCTTTGAATGTAAATCTTGTGGAAAATCCTTTCAGGAGGCTTCAGGAAGTCTTCCTTCATTTCCATTGCAACATTCCTGGGCAAAAGGCTCATCAAGAGACGTTCCTAAAAGAAAACATAAACAACATCAGTTTCATGGTAGAGTGTGTGACCATTTTCCAAAAATTTTAAACTACCAAACTGGACAATCTCCTCTTAATCTGCTTCTTTAAAATGTCTGCTGCATAAATAATATGAACCACTTGTCTCAAATTCCTGCAAACTGTGTACCTTTTTTTAAGTCTTCTGCACTAAAAGAAAACAAACCCCAAAACAAAGCAAAAATAAAAACCAAGCCAAACCAAAAACCCCAACCCCCCCCAAGAAAAAAACAGAAAAAAAAAAAAATGAGACAGAAAAAGCCAGCTTCAAGAGCATATAATTCTCTATATTTTTCATTAACATCACAGTTCTAATAATAACAACTTACTTTATTCTTAGCAGCATTTATCTGTCTGGGAAAGACTTCCCAGGATCATTTGTTATCCTTTTGTGTGTCTTATTTCTTCCTGGATATAATGAAAGTGTTACATTACAAGGACTATGACAGCTGGTTACTAAGCAGTGAGAGTGGATGATGGATTTATCCACTGTCAAATTCAGTGGAACAGTGCCACAGTTTTAATGGCATCTTAGCCAGTGTGGCAGTGTCTTTAATGAACTGCATCAGTACAAAAAACTGGCTAAACATGCCTTCTTGCTATAGCCACAGACAAATTTTTAGCATGGGTCACTGACCTGCATAAAAAGGGTCTCTAATATTATGGATCTTGTCAGTATTGACTATCAAGTCCCATGTAGTTTTTCCACATATTCTGGCCCATTCGCAAGTGCCATCTGGAAAATCTGCAGCTGCTGTTCTTAGGTGTTGTAAGGTATCCTTAGATACCTACACAAGTTGTGTTTTCACCCAGAAAATGCTTTCCCTTTAAAATGCATTTCCAAGTCTATCCATCAGACCAGCTAGTTTCATCCATGGCAAGAATCTGAACGAATTCATATAACCACATCCAATCTGATTCAGGAATCTCAGTTTCCAGACAATAAGGGATGAGCCTAGAGCAAGGAAGGAGTACCCTTGGTGGAACAGGATTAGGTCAGTGAATAATTAAACAAACTGGATAGATGTAAGTCCATGGTGACTGGGAGAAGTGACATAAGACTGCAGAAAGAAAATGTCACTTCTCTAGCCAAGAAGGGCAAGAAGGAGGACACAGGGAGCTTCAGGCCAGTCGGTTTCATCTTGGGTCCTGAAAATGATGAAGCATCTCATCCTTGAAACCAAGGTGGTCAGACTAGATGACTTCTAGAGTGTCCCTTCCTGCCTCAACTATTCTGTGATTCTGTTATCTGACAGTCGAGACCCACTGTAATGGCAGCTGCAAGATGTCACAGAAGTGCATATTTTGGGCCAACCACATCCTCCTTTTCTTTAATCCATATTAAATAAATAAGGAGAAAAAAATTAACACTGAGAAGAGGGTATCTGCAAGTGGTTTTGTGTTGCTAACATGCACATATTCATCAGATAAAGCTATCAAATAATACTCAAAATTTATTCATAGGGGTTTTTATTTTAACAGTTTCTTCTGAAAGACACATTGAAAGAAAAAAAAAGTAAAACTTTGCAGAGCTGTCCTGGTGAATTTTAGACTAAAATTTTGTCATATGTTTGTGGTGGCCACATTGTCTTGAGACTAAGGATCATTAGCTAACTCTATTTCCTACTCTTATATATATGTAGCAGGACATTCTTCCCTGCCAAAGAAGAGCTTATCTGCTCTGTCCAACAGCTGGAGCATTGCTCTGGACATTCTCCCTCCCTGACTCGAATTGGTGAGGTAACCCAGGCTGGACAGATGTCCAGCAGTGAGTTATCTCTGGCACAAGGGAGGTGAGATCTCCAGCTGACAATAAACATCTTGTCTTGAGAGCAAGATGTAGAGAGATAAGCTAGGAATTCCTAACTGAGAGACACATTACTAACTATAAAAGCTACACAAATTTTCATGCAGGTAGAAGCCTCCTACACACACCCTGGAAATGTGCAGGACTTCTCCCACAAGTTCAGATGCAAATTCTGAGGTTATTTTCCAGGGAATTGAGAGGAAGGATCCTATGTGTGCCCCATCAGCGACTGGATGGTAAACCACATGGAATCCTAATCTATACTACTTTTTCACTAGCTGTAATGTTAGGTACCTCAGTTGTGCACTGTGTGTTATCTACTATTGTGTTTTCTACTATTTTTTTTTTCTACTATCTACTAGATAACACTATTGTGTTATCTACTAAGTGTTTCTTTTGTTTATCCTGTGTAGTAAGTCACCTGTTAAAGTCTTATGGCTGTTAAATTTGTGTCAATTAAATAAATAATTCATTTTGTAATAGACCTAATCAACCATCGTTAAGAACCTATGAGTGAGAGTGATCTGGGGTGCAAGCTACCCCAAACAGAGTTACTGCCAGAAATCTGAGCCAAAGGCAGGACTTGTTTAAGCTCTCCTCTATATTCTTAACAATGTACAAGAATCTTGCAAATAATATTATGGAATTAAATATTTGTTCACACTTTACACGTATAGCAATTTCCAATTAACCAAAGTATTTCATGTCACTTAAAAATGGTTATTCACTGTAAATTTTATGTTGATTTAATTAAGTATACTCTGCAGTATTTAATACATTTAATTAAGTATATTTCTGCAGCAGAATTGTATTTGGGTAACCCAAATTTTGGGTAATAATCCAAAACACGTATTTTGTCCACAGTGGATGTTATGATGGTCTGTTGACTGCTACTTGTGTTTTAAAGTTGATTTACTGTTTTAAGAGGAAATAAACTGGTGTTATAAAGTGAGCTGACCACCTCCCAGACAACAGAGAATCCATACAAGAGAGGAATTTGGACCGATGGCCAAATTCTCTGGTACTTAAGATGGCATAAGTGATGCTGGAATTTCATGAGTATTGCTATGGATGAGAAATTTACAATGTCTGATAAGGACTAAATGTTCTTTGTAGCTTTTCTTTTAGTGAACACATTAAACAAGATCTTCACCGTTTTGCCGAAATGGATTAGTAAATTTCAAAACTGTTATGGAGAGAGTGGGTTTTAGACTTCTGTTTCCTAGAAAGTCAGACATAACCAGACAAAAAAGCAAACAAAAAATATATTGGCAGACTCTTCCAGAGTGCAGGGCTAACTGAATAGTTCTCCTATGGCCTGCAAACACAATTACAATACCTGAATAAAAAGCTCACAGATAATGGCTGCAGTGCATGGCAAGTAATATGGAATCCAGGGAAGTAACAAGAACCATTACTGTGAGGGCAGCATTGGAGAGCTGTAAGATGCAGCACCTGGCAGCATTGAAATGTGCAGATGTCAGATTTATTAAGGGAGACTACAAAAATAATGATTCCTATTCATGTGTAAGTTGACTATAACAAGACCTGAAGGGAACATATGAAAATCCTCTATCAAATTGTGATGGCTTGCTTTTTTTATTAAAGATGAGGGAAAAAAAAGAAAAAAAGATTACTGATGAAGAATTGTAGAGTCTATACAAAGAGGGCTGGCAGTGTCAGACTCACCAAGTGAGGAAAGACTCAGTTATGGCTTTCTCAAAGGGCAGCCACTGCTGACCTTTCAACCTTTCATACCAAGAAGGGAAGCCGCATCCTGACTGTATTTATCCCAGAAGAGGAGACTGGGAAATGTAAGAAAGAACCCTGCAATACAAAGTATCAAAACACTGAAAGTAAATGAAAGACACCATCCAGCTCTCTAGAAAGAATGTAAGAAAAGTCTCTTCTATTTACAGCAAAATCTCATCTGCCAAGCAAAGCAGTATTTCCTTTCAGGTCAGCCTAAGGAATGCTGAAGAACTCAGTTTTGGAGTAGCAAGAGTGAATTCATGTACACAAATTATAGCAGCTGGAGGGTTTGGGAAAGGGCTCTGCCTGGATCCCTATTCAGCAAGTCCTACAATTTTTGTCCAGTTTTTTTCATTTGTTCCTATATGGCTGATCTGATTACAAAAATAACCTGGAAACCAGGCTAAAAGGAAAACTAGGTCTGTAGGATAGTGAATTAAATGGAACAAGTGACAAAACTAATGGAAGACCGCTCACATTTATGGTGACATTCATGCTTGCATGGTTGTTGCCCCTCTAACAGAGAGGGTGATTACAAGAAAAAATAGAAAGAGTAACACAGGGAACACTATTCAATCAGTAACAACTTTTACCAAAATTAAACAACACCCATGTTGCAAACTTTCTAATTGGTCACAAATTATTTTGTGTTGAGGTAGCCTCATATATGATATATTCCTAAACACAAGGTCTAGTAGAAACAAAATGTTTCTACATTTTTTTTCAGTTATTCACAATGTTTTTTAGGATTATTTCAGCTGTTTTCTATAAAGAATATTAAATTTTGGTCACACAACCAGCTTACACTATTTTAGGAATCTGTACACTCTTCTCCTGCTGTAAATCTTCATACAGCATTAAAATGGTCTAAAGTGAAATCATATGCTGAAAACAAAATTTCTTTTCACAGATTGTAATTGTCAGTCAATGATTTTACATTACTTGCAGAAATCTCACTAAGAAAAAAAAAATTATAGATGAGGACCTAGATCTCCTTCATTCACAACATTTTACATTCCCAGTCCTGTTCTGGGATTTCAAATGCCAAACTGGACTTCCTTTGCCAAATACATCATCCTGATTATTAATGATTACTGCACTACTAATGGAGACTTAACTGTTTTTGAAAAGAACAGTCAATTTAGAAAAGCATTCAAATTTCTTTCTCCCACAGCAATGAAGCATCACTTGAAAATAGAGGACGAACAAACATTCATTCTGTGAATGCTAAGGCAAGTCAAAATGTGCATACCAAACCAATTAGGGATTGCTACCTTGGCCCTATTCAATAACTAGTACCATTACGCATGTGACAAATAAGGCAAATATGCCAAGGTATATGCAAATAAGCCAAGCAAAATGGAAAAAAGTGCATCCCATTGTTAATGGACAAAAAGACCCTATAT